AAACCTGTTACAGTACCAACAATTATTCTATTAAAGATTGTTGATTTTATACTATTTATACGTCTTTCACGTCGTTAAAGGTAATCGTAATAAAACAATCGTATCACTCAAATTGTGGCAACTCATGGCATTACAAGGAATAAATACCATTGACAAAAAGTTATGTTACTATGTAACTAAATTACTAATCGATTCGATCGCAATACCCAATATTTGTGCTTTTTTTTGTTTATGAGCCACTTAAATATTAATAGGTACTTAGTATTATTTAAAACTTCTTGTAAAATTCTAAAACACTGCTGCTCATAAGATAATGCAGACAATTTCAAACAAAAGTAAATATCTTAGATTATTATTACAGTAGTGTTTACTAAACGAAGAAATTCAGTTAATTAATTAGGTATCTAAAAAGTATTTATAAATATAAATTTTTAGTGCTACATTTATATCCATATTACAAATAATTTATAAAAGCAATTCATCTTCTTTAAAATTTGCCAGGTACCTAATGCAAACGTGCCAGTGTTACGTCAGAGACTATATTTTACTATAATAATATAGTGTAAATATATAGTTCCCACTGACTGGAAGCGCTCTCATAACAAAAATAAAATATCTACATACAAAGCTATTAAATATAAATGCACGCGTGACGTCGCGTTCTATACGCGACATATTTTAGAACAATTAATAAAAAAAAATATAATTACTCATATATTATACATACATTTGTGTTTGATAATGAATATATAAATTGGATAATATATATGGTATACAAATAATAACTGATTTAATTTATAAAATATAATAGGATTTACTAAAAGTATTTGCGACGCACATTTGACGATGACACAAACGCACTGCGAAACTGTAATTGCAGTCTCATAAGATCTTCCAGTAACGGACTGTTAATATATTTTACTATCAATAAACTTCAACGTCCTTTACTGCAAAATTCTACTAGTTTTAATAGGTAAAACTTCTAATAAATTATAATAAAACATTAACCCAATATTTACATACGCCAATGAACACTTCACATTTGACGCTGTGCGATAGTCAAAAAGATCTTCATATAAAGAAAGTTTTTTAAATACCCAGATCAACTATCACAACAAAGTATCTTAAAGACTACCTTAACAACCATAACATTAATGTAAATGATTGTTATCTATATATTTAACTTTAGACCTCTGATGATATTATGTACACAAAGTTCCTTATAAAGGCATCTTGATATAAACTAAGTGTTCCAAAAGATGACTTTTCTTAATTATAACCACAGTTGAATGCGTGAGTTGCCCATCAAAAATTGGCGAACAGTTTAAGTTCATCTGGATCCAACGAGCGTACCGCCTTCCAGTCGGTCTCTGGGTACTCATCAAAGTTGGAGGTGTCACCTTCGTAGGAGACTGATGGTATTATTGGTGGCTGTTAACAAAAGAATAATAATTTAAAATTTTACGTTTTCAACGGCAAATGTGTCTAACTAACCCATCGGGGGGAAAGGGATTGTTAGTAATGGAAAATTTTACGTTTTCAACCTCCTCGCGGTTCTCCCTGGAAACTATCATGGTTAACTGACGAATTCATCATGATCGGGACCTGTTTTCATTCTCATCTATCACCCTTCACTGGTGCTATTGTCATATCCCGTTAGCGCAGGCTAAATTATAATAATCCATAAATTGCAGTCATAAGCATATTTTCATATATCAGCCGTGCACTACTGAACACAGGCATATTTTACTTTTTATAAACAAATTTAAAATAGAAATAACATATCTTTTTTTATACAACTTAAATAAATTATTATTATCAGACATGAGCAGTACCATGAACACAGACATATTTTATTTTTTATAAATTAATTTACTTTTAAAATAAAAAGTAATGTATCCTTCATACAAAATATATTTATTGCTAAGTTACTATACTATAAATAAGTATTCACAGCCAAATATTACCTGTAATTTTTTCATGAAAACGTCTGCCCAGTCGATATGCTTAAACCACCTATGCCTCTTGACATCCTCTGACCCGCACTAAAAAATAAAACAGACCTTAAATATAATATACATATAATAATAATTATTTCAGGTGTTTAACATGTCAACATAAAATCGTTAATAATCCTGAGAGAAAATGACATTTGCTTTAACAATTAAGGTCGCCATATTCATTTTATTCTATCATTGTAATAATAGAATCTGTAATGAAATTTTATATAACGTTTTTTTGACAATTAATTAACATTTCCTAAATGAAAATCACTAAATAAAAAATAAATAATGAAAATAGCTATAATCTATATTTTTTACATTTGGTATCATAATACTAAGTATATACTCGTATTACCGTCAATGTATTAAACAAGAAAGGAGATAAAGTGTACTCAAAGAGTCATTATGATTAACGACGATGGTAATGCAAGTCACTGGTCTCACGAGCTACCTAGTTTTCTACAGTAGTTAGCGTATTTGCCAGACGTCCACCGCCATAACTCAACCGGACGCAGCCGTTTGATGTCACCGCCGGACACTTGACTGATGGCTTTCTAAACATCTGTGCGACATCGCAAAAAGCTCGGTGAAAATACACAACCACTAGAAACTGCACGTTTAAAAATACAGACCACCGCTCTTTCTCAAGACGTTTCTTAATGCCATTTAAATTTTTTTTTTTTAATGATTTCTATCGTAATATTATAAACAAGAAATATTGATGTATGACCGATAAAATATTGAACGGTTTATTGAACTAAATAATTTTGTCGGTTTATTAAATAAATAATAACTAAATAAGTCGATTGCTCGGGTACCTCTGTCCCATTCGTGTTTCAACCGTGAAGCAGCTGTGTTTACATGGCTGTATTTCGGTTTGAAGTGTAGGATATGGCGTGAATTTACAGGGTACAGAGGAATAACACCTGAGTCCTCAGGAATAGCAACGCATGGGGGGTATCGTGGGCGAAACAGTAAACTCTGTTATGTCCATGGTACTGCTCATGTCTATAGGCGACGGTTACCACTTTCCATCAGGTGGACCGTCAACTTGTTTACCATTTTAAGTTGTATAAAAAAAAAAAATCTTATATTATCCAAATCATTATACAACTAGTTCAACCAGTCAATTGTTATGTTCTCGTAGTACTATACTAATTCTAATAATTCTTTAATTTTGGCTCTTCAGAACCCGTTATATCCTATTTCAGTGAACGTTATTACTCGTAGTGTATGCTTGCGTAATCACTAAGAAATACTTATCATATTAAGATAGTCAAAAATATTACTATAAAATTGTAAATTTACATGGAAGATATTTAAAAAAGTAATATTAAAAGTCTTAAAAAGATCAACAGAGGTCAACACAATAGTTTTTAAAACTTTTGTCTGTCTATCTGTATATTTATTCTGGTATCACGCGAAATCTACTGAACCAAATTAAATGAGGTTTCCACAGTTGTGTTCCAGAAATAAATTTCATGTAGCATAGTAAAAACTGTAATTAAATTTCACTCCCAAACTTCAATTTCACAAGTCAAATAGTCTTTGAGTTTCCTGATTCAATCAGTGTGTTAAGTAATCATAATTTTTTTTAGATTTTCGAGATCATTATACTTAATATACTTGGTATATAACTAACTCATTCTCATCACGATTCCTTCAAAACAAATAGTTTTGAATGTTGCAAGAATCATGACCACGAATCTTGCTACAATTAATTTAATTGTATTTAATTATGTATATATTTGATTTTAAATATTTAAATTTGAAGAATAGTATAATAAAGTATGTTACAGAAGCATACAATGTGAAGTTATATTATACTGAAGTGACTATCCAAAAATAAACATTATTTCAGCCAAGGAAAACCGATCAACTTTTCAATTTACAAAACTCTTGTATACAACTTGACATGTATGAGATTAGAAGTTATATATGGAAGCAGCTGGAGAACAGCCAACTGTAAGAGCTAAATAAAATATTTTTTGTACAGAATCGAGTTTAATGAATCGAGTATCAAAGCGGAACTGTTACACAAACAGAAAATCGATTAGTCTAATAGTGAAGTAATTTTTCTTAGCAGAAAACACGACCGCGACCGTAATTTAGTTTCACCTACTTTGCCACAAAATCTTTTAAACAAATAAACCCATGCATAAATATATATAATAAAAATTAATCAAAGGAAATATTTGCCTATTTTCATGACATTAATATTGTCCATGAACATTATTAAGTGTAAATTGTTTTTAATGTCCATAAATAATGTATATGATCTACACTTCAAGTAAAATTATCAAATGAATGAAAACAATCATATAAAAGTCTACTATAGTTATATATATTCTAGGCAATTTATAAATATCTAATCTCAAATATTATAACTTCTTTTTTTTTTTTAATAAAAGTGAATAATAATGAGATTTTCACACAGCATATACTTTTGATATTGTGCGGCGATTTTTAGCTATCCATATTTTATTATTTTTTTAAATATATTGACAGTTTCGTGAATGAAAAGGTAAACATTTAAGTTTGTTTTTTACAAAACGACAGTCATGAGAATGAAACTGGAATAAACCTTATTGATTAAAAAAATATTGAAGTCTGTTTAAATTTTATTAAAAAAAATAATCTTTTTAAAGTTACTTAAATACTATTTAAACCTAATATTACCTACCTACCATAGAACTAAATACTTAATATATTTTACATTGATCGTTTACCCTTCTACTTATAAACACTAATTTATTCAACCAATAATTAGCACACGAAATATTTTTTGTCGAGACATTAAATAATTATTTGACAATAAATGTCATTGTTTACCAGAATATGTAATTTTATATTATTATAGTTTTTACGCACAACTTCATTTGCATGATCGAGATATATTGATTGATTGGTATTAATAGCTTAAGATATATAATAGCTTAGATTCCCCACACAAATGCTTCGAGAAAAGCGGGTCAACTTTTTTGTACAATTTTGCGTGATAAATAGTATTTTCATTATAACTTCTATATTTATTTCATTTTATTATTTATACATCTTTTTAATAGGTAAAAACTCATTTTGTTTATTAAATAATTAAATATAAATACGTCAAGATACATTATGTGCGTAAGTATATAGAAAACTTATTAAAAACGAGTCAGCTAATTTGATAATTAGCTGACAAAAATTTGACCCATTCCTAAGACTCGATGCTGTAACATATCTATATAATCTAAGAGTAGTGGTAACAAAAAAATAAACAAACAAACTCACTCTATATATTTATAGTACTAGCTATATCCCGCGACTTCGCACGCGTGATCAGTATATATGTAAAGTATCCTATGCATTAAGTTAGAGAATATCCTACCCATAAACCAAATTTTATTCAAATCCCTTCATCCCTTCAGTAATATTTATGTGAAAAAAGAACACACGTTCATCCTTTCGCATTTATTATATTCATAGAATTAGTAAGAACGTTGATTTCAGCCCCTGAATGTATATCCCTATATCTAATGAATAATTTAAGTATCTAACCACAACTGTACTATTTTCATACAATTTAATGTACTCAATTAAAATATGTTCGCAGTCTAGTTTTCATAGTTATTTTAAGATACACGGGACTAGACACTATGTAGATATAAAAATCGGCCGTGCGTGACGTCATCATGTCTTGTGACAAATACAGAATACTTCAAAACCATGGTACCTATCATTGAACATATCCCATCGACTATTATGCTTCTGCATCCAATAATCTCACTGCTATATCTACAGAAATATATAGATAACTAATAACACGCAACTTTTGACGCTTATGTAGGAGCGAATTGACCGACGTTATATTATACGCATACCAGCTGCTTTTCACGAAGGTCATCGGATATACTTTGCAACATTTCCAAAATGTCTGTCATTTCTTTGAAAGTGTACTTAAACTTGTTTCTATACAAAACTCGACACAAATAATCCATACTACCAATAAATTTAAAATCTTACTGTAGATTCTACTTTTAAATTATTTTAAATACTTATAAATACTTAAATATAAATATATATACTTAATTATAAAACTTTAATATCAAAATTATTTATATACCTAAGTTAGTAATTGACGTTATAGCTTTTGATACATTTATCGATATTTAATTTGGAGTCAGATTTTTCAATATTCAAATCTGTCTGAACTTAAGCACAGAGGTTACCTAAGTAAACTTTATAATATTAATAAAGAAGTATAAATTTTAAAAATATAATGAATAAATCCATTAATCTTTTTTTTATGCAACTTAGAATTTCTAACAAGCTGACGGCCCATCTGATAGAAAGTGGTACCGTCGCCTGTAGACATGAGCAGTATGACGGACATAACAAAGTATACTGTTTCGCCCATGATACCCCCATTCGTTGCCATTCATAAAGACTCAAGTGTTATTCCTCTGTACCCTGTAAATTCACTGCTACATCCCACCATGCAAACCGAAACACAGCCATGCAAACACAACTGCTTCACTGTAGAAACACGAATGGGACAGAGATGCAAACGATTTTTGTGCAAAGTATCCCTCTGGTAAAATATAGTAATCTGTAGTAAATATTTTGTAGTCATTACAATTATGCAGGCGTTGGTATTAAATGGACATCGATATCGAGTTGTAGATTAATGTAAATCCCATCATTCCCTAAATTGAATTATTGAATCGAGTTAATATCTGTCATATAACAAATAAGAGGCGATATCCAATCTCCATACAAATATACAAACATATTCTATGCCGGGACTACACGGCCTCCCTACCAACCATTTTTATCAATAAAAAAAAACAGAAGCATAATCCACCCCCACTATTTAGATATCTATGGTTCCCAATATACAAACCGAAACATATACGTGTAGGTACAGCTGCTTAACGGCAGAAACACGAATGAGACAGAAGTACCCATGTAAATGACTAATACTTGTTAGTCTCGTTACTGCTAAATATAGATCGGTCTAAAATAGGTGCGTGAATGAAGATATATGCTTATTCTATTAGTTCAAAGGCAGGTCAAGTGCAAGGATAATTTAATACTTCCAGTAGGATCGTTAGAAAAACGTAGAGCCACGTACCTATAGTATCTCCCAGGGTGGAAAGGGATTGTTAGTAGTGGAGACTAAAAATCCCATTACTAGCAATATACCCAACCAGGTCGACTTTCTCGTGGTTCCCCCTGGAAACTATGATGGTTAACTCCTAATGAATTTATCATGATGGGCTAACTGGCCTGTTTTCATTCTCATCAATCACCCTTCACTGGTGTGCCGCCAGCGTATCCCGTTAGAGCAGGCGGGGTTACCATTCTATTTTCACCCATCAAAAATACAGTAGGTATCTCCGAAAACCAGTGTTGCATCGCCATCGACGTTTTATTGATAAACAATAACCACTTATTTGCAACAACAATCCGACATTAAAATATAAAACGGAACTTTTTGAACGTCATTACTATGATTGAAATATTGTAATGTATTCTCGGTGTTTCGAGAGAAAATGTTTTTATAATAAATAGCAAGCAATAATAATCTATTAGTATAACTAAAAATAATCTTTGCTTACTTATGAATAAAAATAGATGAAATAGCTTACAATATATTGCAATTGTTTTAATTTTAAATCAGACTGTTTCACATTTAGATTTACTTATGTACTCATAGGTACTACTGTTATATATAATATGGTACAACTATGAACTACTTGACGTCAGGGAAGGTAAGATTAAACGCAAACTCATCTATTAATAAAAAAAAATTATCTCCTAGAGTTATGAACATCGACATGAGCATCGCTGTTATCTTTCAGTTCGTGTTACCATCTCTGAGATGTAAAATTCTATAGAGATATCCTTATTTTAAACAAAGTTTAAAAAAATCTCAATATAACTGTACCTATTTATGGATGTTGTGAACCGATTTTCATAATAAGTTTTTCAATTAGAAGAGTTTTTTTCCGTGTTGGTATCACGTCATTTTTATTAAGATTAAAGGCGATTTATTCTAATAAAAACTTATATTTTAAATTAATATTAATATTATTACCTTCATGTTGCCAAGCCTTTTTGTTCTGTCTTGTACAAGTAACTTTTTGATAATGTCTTTCGCGATTTGGTCGAGGTGTCGCGGCCACTCCACTCGGCCGTTCAATATTTTCTCGTAAATTCCAAATGGGTTGTCGTCATAAAACGGTGGATAACCGACCAACATCTCGTAAATAAGAACACCTGGAAAATAAATAAAACAATCTTGACATTTAATCTCAAATTAGAAACACTTTGTTCAAAATTAAATATTACCTCAATGAATTATAATACACAAGGTACATGCGGGATTTGTAATTTGTTTTAATATTTTTATTTACAAATGTGCCCATGCAACAAATTGTCTGGCAAAGATTATAATTGTCCTTGATAAAAATTTTAAAATATTTTCGTTGTGTATATAAGATCAGTTTTAAAATTAGTAAAGCATAGTATCTAAATTCCGTTATTTTGATTTTTTAAGTTTCGATACAGTTCTAAATTTGAATGTGTATTCTCAAAATTTTTAATAATCAATCTATATCGATCAATACATATAATAAAATCGAAACTGATCGTTGTCTGTACATGGAAGATATATAAGAAAAACTATTATAGATGATTTTAAGAACGCAATAGAATTCAAAAGAATGATTTTTAGAATTTTTGTCTGTTTGTCTGTATGTTTATGCACGCTAATCTCAGAAAGGGCTTAACCGATTTGAATGCGGTTTTCACTAATGCATTGCGGTTTGCTCCACTTAACATTTAATATTTATTTTATTTCAATCGGTTCATAAATAAAAAAAACTTACATCAATCTAAAGAAAAACATATAAACTACTATAAAGCTACTATATATATACTGCTATCAGTTGAATTGGCTGAAACTTTTTATTATTATATGTATTGATTTTCGAAAATTCTATCTACTCGTGCGAAGCCGGATTAGATCGCTAGTCAGAGTAATAAATGACAATCTACTGGCAACCACTATTCACTAATACTGCCTTAATTATTATAATGTAGGCATGAACACATGCCTACATAAAATACAAACCGCCATCATTGCCAACATAAAATGTCAATGTGTAATCTATATAAATAAAAATTAAGTGCTGCGCGTTGATAAACGTATGACTTTATAAATGTTTGTATCAAATTTACTTATTTTATAGTATTCTTAAGAGTCCAATTAAAAATTTTAGGTAAAAATAAAATTAGAATTTAAACAGAATGACTTTTCAATAAAGAATCGAATAAAAAACGATACTTAACATTAAAATAAATTATAAAATATTGTTACCAGGAATATGGCAAATAAATTATTATTATTATTATCAAGAATGAAATGTGTATACTTTTAATGTCATGTCATATGAGTTTTGAACGTCACAACAAGCAAACTGAAGCAATACGAAGACAACAACAAATGATCACATAAATTACAAATGTGTGTAAGTGCAACACTAATTAAACATGAAACATTTTAAAGTTTATAGACTAAACATGTTGTGCCAAATTTTGTATTAGATTAAATCTTACACGAGTAAGGGACACGCTTCCTGACGTATTCGTGTATCTATATACGCAATTAAAAAGAATTTAACAAAAAAAAACTGCAAAAAAAAGTGGACTCTTTTTATCTTGTACGTACAGATAACTGATTTATTTTTAACTAATCTATTTAAAAACTTTATTCACATAACAAAGGTCAAGATAATATAATTCAGATTACGTCAATATTATTCTACTATATTGTACTAATATTATAAATGTGAAAGTTTATTTTTATAAATATCTTTGTGTTTGTATGTTTGTTACTCAATTACGCTTAAATGTCTAAACGGATTTGTATCAATTTAATTACATGGGTAAGTTACTTCCTAACTTAACACATAAGCTGCACGAAATAACTATTTTTATATATTTCCAAAGGTAGACTTTTTAATATACTGCATGATTGTGTGTATGTAATCTCTGTATAGTACCAAAATATACCCTTCACACATTAATATCTTCGCATTAATACCAAGGTGGAGGATTAGATGAAATTAAAGAACACGCAAACTTTCGTTCTATAAATTATTAAGGCGCAGATATAAATTGGCACCCATTTGCCATTTGAAGGTGAGAGTTGGTAAATATATCATCGCAGCAGTAAATAATTATAATGTAAACACAGCATTAAAGTGTCACAGACGATGGTTATAAAGCATGTAGGATGTAAGTGTGTAAATTAAATATATCTGACAATCAACACAGCTATTAAACCACTAGAAGGAACAATCCGTAATTCAATTCATAATCATCAAAGTCCAAAACACGTCTTTAAAATTTTCACCAAGAACGGAACTCTGATTTTTTCCACATTTAGCAAAATCAATCCAATTAATTTAAATACAAAACATGTTTATAAAAAAAAAATACAGAAAGTAGTCGAGCAAATAAAATTTAAATTAATAGGAAAGAAAGTCACAAACAAACATAATACCATTTCAAAATATGTGCATTTATAATACATTCACCTTGAAACTATTGTATGACGTCATGTTATTATATGATGGTACACGACTAGTTGACATTGGTAATGAAATACAAAACAAAGAATACATTATATTTACAGACGTAAACTGTAAAACTACTTTGCACAAATGAAAATGTACTCGAAAATACAGCTATTACACGTAAGTATTCAATTAGGTATGAGTATGTTTGACTTTCACCCCCATGAAACATTTCATGTTTTTTGTACATGCTAATATTTCTAATGGGGTACTAATGGGATAGCACAATTCGTTTTTATTAGGTACAGAGTTTTATGTGACCTTTGGGACAAGTAACACCATCGTACCAATTTCTGCCATGAAAATAATGCAGACTTGATTATGTTTTGGTAACAGATTTTTTTTGTTTTATTTATTCATAAACTATAATTTGTCAATATTAGTAATAGTAGTTTGATGAACTACGCTTATAGGCATGGTGTAGTAGTGTAACATAAATGGAAATACATGAAGGTGCTATGAGTATATGTATGTTATGGTATGGACTGTATATCCTATAATTCTGTTATTGCTCTCTATCAACGACATACGTAAATAAACAAATAGGTTGTTTACGTTTCCTAATAACTAATATTATAAATGCCAAAGTGAGTTTGTTTGTTTATTACGCTTTTACGCCTAAACCGCTGAATCGATTATGATAAATTTTGGTATAGAATTATATATGACCCTGAAGACGGTTGCAGGCTACTTTTTCTTGTGGATAATTTATAGGGGGTGAGGTAGGGGAGGAGTCGATTTTGTATGAAACTTTTTATTGCATCGTCCGATTTGGTTTAAACTTTCCAAAATTTTTGTTTAAAATTTCCAATTAAAGTATACATATTTCTTTTTTTAAAACTTCTTCTTAAAGGGGAAGGGATCTTTTGTAACTGTTTTATCTTTAACTATACCAACAACTAGAATTGTAACCAAAACTAATATTAAAGTGAGCGAAACCACAGGTAAAAGCTAATATACAATAAAGTGATGTATAAAATTTACACTACGACAAAATTTGTCAAATGAAGAGTGAATAGTACAACAGAGTAGTATTACAAGAAACTTAGAAAACTATGGTTAAAAAAACAAACTAGATTTAAAGACATTCACTAGAATATATTAATTTTATTATATGAAAGTGGAAGGATGCGACTACAACTGCAGGTCAAGAGTAGCCTCTCATAATCACATGAATCGATTTCTTTTAAACGGTACACGATATATTATGGTATATCTATGGGAACATTTGTTCTTATAAATATATTTATTTGTTCAATATAAAGACATGAAAGTGAATAAAGCAGAAAATATGTGTAAAAATCAAAGCCTTTGGTGTTCAATTATCTACAATAATATTTATATTTATTGTTTTAATAAAAATAATAAAATGGTTTATATTCGATATTTCGCTGAGTAATAAAATATAAAATAAGACTATCAGAAAAAAAATCAAAGTGACCAATACTGCCCGAAAAATAAACAAGCTTAAATATATCGACTATACTATATAAAGACTCCGTATAGACAAATGCAGTGTAGAACAACTTCCTACTTGATGTGTCAATGATCTCTAGTATGCTGTAGGAATTCTATGATTGTAGTTGGCTCAGATCGTTCCTTGAGGTAGCCAACTCTGCAGTGAAGGGGAGCAACAAAATAAAAGAGTCAAATCCCCTATATTTCTATTAGTTCTTATCATCACAGTAATTTCAGTCGTTAATTTATTTGCTGCTTTCCTTAAGCGATAAAAATAAAAATATTTATTAAAATAATAGAGGTTGTATCAATAAATTCAATACTGACCTAAAGCCCACCAGTCGACAGCTTTGTTGTGTCCTTTGCTCTGAATGATCTCTGGCGCCAGATACTCTGGTGTACCACATAATGTCCACGTTCGGTCTGTCAGCTTCTTTGCGAAACCAAAATCTGTGATCTTCAAGTGACCATCTCTCGCTAGCAATAAGTTTTCAGGTTTGAGATCTCTATACACGATATTGCGCGCGTGAAGATATTCCAATGCGGATACTATTTCTGCTGCATAGAAGTTTCCTGTGAAAGTAACATATCAAAAAGTTAATCATTTACATCTTGAAGCGTTTATAACATGAAATTATCTTAAACTATTACGTAACGAAAATAATATATTATAAATATGTACTTCATATACATAATATATATGTATACTCGTATTTACACTTTCTATCAAGTGGGTTGTCAGGTTTTAATGTAAAATAGCACGGCAAGTGACCACACTATCCTGAACGAACACAGAGCAAAACATAGTCATTGATTACGACCAATCGAAAAGAGAACGTTCCATTCTCGACGATTGGCCGCACTCTACCGGCTCACTTTGTGCATTTTCAGTCTACATTTTGCTAATAAAAAATTGTATACGTAGTTTTTCTGTGTATAAATAAATCTACTTTGTATCTATTATAAATAAATTTACTAAATTTTACGAAAATACGCAATAAGTTATTTGCATCCATTCAAATATCATCAGTTTAATGAACTTGGTAGTTTCTATTTTATCTTCTTAGTATATCCAGTTTATTTTTTTTATAATTCATAATTTTATTAAACTGTTACTATTAAATTAAGACAGCAGAAAAATATAAGGAGGCGTTTGAAGACACAAAAAACGCGACTGTAAAAATTTCTAAAACCATATATCATTTTAGCCAGTTTTGGATTGTTTATGACTGTCATACTTTAATTTGCACTATCATTCTGTTATAGAGAACCTCCTATAAAATCTATCAATATTTTAGAAACTACGTAATTTAAATCACGACTACATATCACTTTCAAGTAGATTAGGTATTTAAATCATTAGAAATTTTATTACAGAAAAAAAGCAGTATTTACAAAACGAAGAGTCTTTTTAGAATATCATGCATTATAATAACTTTATAATATAGATTTTGATAGTATTTAAATTTAGAAAGCTATTTTAATATACAAGGATATCTATATTTCTATGTCGAATATCTATAGTCGTGAATTATATCATGTTACATTAATATATGATATTAATGTCATATTTACATTTTATGTGAAATTTGAGCACAACAAATCCTATCTCAAGTAATATCGAGTGACGATGTAGTCTAAAGTGTTACAAATAAAAACAACACCTATTAATTCTAGTTTATTACATACCATTTCTATGTTGATTAGTTGATCTAAATAATTAAATTCTAATTTCTGATATAATTGCCACAGCAACTAGTAATTAAATCAACAAAGTGTTATCTACTAAATCGTATTGAAAACTACTAATATCTGCCTGAGGTACAAATTGTAATCATAGTAAATATGTTTTAGTTACAGTTTCAGTTTTAGTTTAATTTTAATAACAAACACTGAGAGACCTCGTATTAGTCGCTTGTCCCCATTGCTAACAAACCCCTCCCCCAAGTTCCTTAATAAAGATCGTATTAAAAATACAAACTTAAATGAGAACCAAAACATAGAAAATTTTCAGTTTTCCAAGGTAAACGAACTGCGCAAAACAATCACCTCCCGTTCCCATGGGAATTTCCAAATGAATCTGTGACGTTCCAACATTGTAAATCAAACTTGGAGATTTCCTGATTAGTACGCCAATGAATTGTTATTTCGCTTTTTTATTTTCATACAGTAGTATTGGTTTTATTTACCACTGTATACTGATACATCTAAATATATGACGTAATAATTTATAGAAAAAAAAACTAGTTGCGAGCGCACAGGACAACGTCTATTTTTAAGTTCGGAAAGTCAATGCCAATTGCTAGAGTTGAATATGTTTGCGTCTCGAACGTCACTACTTGTCGACTATATATATTATTAGTGTCACCCAAATGCTCGTAGGTACTCTGTATTAAGCTTACAAGATTTAAAACTACGTCTACGACAGACTCTAGCCAATAGCAATAGCGAGTTATTATTCTTAGTAGAAAATATCTAAACTTAAACTTCTAGAAAAAATAATAAATACTATAACTTCATATAGGTAGTTTTATCTCTAAACGGTTAATTATTGCTTCGTTTTTTCACAACAAACCCTTTATTCCTGCTATCGTGAGTATTTCAGGAATTCCTTATCCAGTCAATATTGTATAAGAAACATCTATGCAAAATTTTATACTTAGCACCCACCAGTTAATTTTTTTTTTATCATTTAGCCAGTATTTCGAATATAAAATAGTATTTATAAATTATTTATAGTTAGCTATTATTATTACCTATTAATCTATATATGCTATGTACTAAATTACTGTTACTAGCAACTTAGTAAAAAAAAACTTTTGATAAATATCAAACGTATTCATTCTTTTCCGTGAAAGAAAATATAAAAGCGCACAAAAAGGATTAGCATAAAAAAGGTGAACGGCATTAATAAAAAGTTTCTTTTTTATGGTATCCTATGATTAGTAGTAATTGTGGGCGATACATCGCCGCCTTTTAAAAACAAGTAGGGTGGTGACCGTCACTATAGTTGAATGACATCACGCGATGATGGCTAACGCCTCCAAACTATGACCTAACAAGGACAGGAGAGTGGCTAATAAAAAAAAACTAATTCCTTTGTTCTACATTCTAAAATAAAATTCATATAAAAGCTAGTTTAACTAGAACATGTGTCGTTATAAATTTTAAGTACACGTATAATATTCATAAAAAGGGGATGTTATAATAATCAACGCAAAATTTATTTTTCCATTTTATTTATTTGATGAGAATAAAATGAAAAGAGCATGTTTAACAAAACGTCTATCGTATAAATAATATAAAACACCATATACTTTTAGTACAAGATATAAATAATACATTTATTTATATCTTATATTCGAGTGAATTATTGTCTTATCAAAATTTATTCCGCCTACTATGAAAATCGACGACCTAAAAAAAATTGAATATCATGATTACTCATGATAAATCCAAGTAATTTAATACGTCTTGCTATAATAATTGAGTTATAATAACAAAAAAAATAATAAGAATAATAAATAAATAAGGAAAATAAAATAATAAGAAAAATAAATAAATAAGAAAGATAAAATAATATAGTCGAAATAGAGCGGCGAGAGTGACGCGGTTCACGGCGTCACGTTGTCTGGTTATGTCGCCAGCTGATCCCAAACTCTCGTTTTATTGACCCAACCACAATAATATCTTTACGTCCCACTTCCTATAGTTTGATTATATAGGTCAAATTACTTTTTTATGTATACACACTGTCACTAAAATCAAGTCTGTAGACAGAAGGTGACATTTAATTAGTAATAAACTCTACCATAAATTGTATGATACAAACGTCAACAAATGTATCATTTTGACAGAGTTACTTTCGTGACATCAATCGTTTTTAGAATCAAGGCCATCGGAAGTTTCAGATAGATTTTCACAGCTGATTTATTTATCACCAGATGTAAGAGACCCACAAAACTTGATAAATATAAAAATATAGGTGTCCTATGAAATAGCTAATTATTACCAATAAATTTATTTAGATTATAAGCGCATTATGTCTACACCAAGGGGTGTAGACATGATGCTTCCCCTATAAGGATAGGGGAAGCCTTTGCTCAACAGTGGACAGTTAACGGCCGACATGATGATGACGATATTTCTCGCGCATAGAATAAAAATATACTGAACATGCGTAGGAAAAAAAAAACACGATCTGTTTCCTCATAAGAGTATATAGGAGCAACGTTTATCAAAATATCAATGATTTTATACATACAACTTTTTTTATGTCGCTTGGAATGGTAAACAAACTAACGGTCCATTAATGAAAAGTCATAACTGTCGCCTATAAACACGAACAACACTATGGACATAAGAGATATCTTTAGAAATATCATCCTGTTTCCCTCGAAATATGACGTCGGAAGTAATAAACAAAAGCGGTAGCCATACAACCGACTACGTAATTTCTAATGCTCGAGTTGTGTCAAAATGGTAAAACAATTAATCTTAATTTACTCATAGTGAACACTTGCATGCTAGCCAAGGGCCAAACGCCAAACATCTTTGATACGAGTATCTACTATAGTGACTATCTTAAGATAAATAGTAATAGATGTGGCAAAACATTTAATATTTTAATGTAATTTGGAGGCTATATTTACACAGAGGAAATCTATTTATATAATAATTTGAGATAGAAATTTAAATAATAATTTAACATTAAATCCCTACGCTTCAGTTCTGATAAAAATAATACAATAAAATTAATTCGTAAAACATAATAAATAAAAAAATAGACTGCCCTTTCGTATTATTTGGAATATTAGTAAAGTTTATCAAGATTTGATATTTTAACTATTACAGCCTCGGCTTCGCACGGATACAATGTATAAAATAATGTAGTATCAGTGTAGAGTAATTGATATTATTAATATAACATTATAATATATAATATACTACAGAGGGAGACTTTGGACCTCTGTCCCATTCGTGTTTCAACCAAGTTGTGTTTGCATGGCTGTGTTTCGGTTTGAAGGGTGGGATATGGCGTGAATTTACTGGGTACAGAGGAATAACACCTGAGTCAGGAATGGACAATACAAATATGTTTTCAAACATAAAAATGGTTATAAAAAGCTACTTGTTTAATATACTTTGACTTTTTTATAGTCCTAATAAAGAGAAACAGATCTAGCACATATTATTTTGTTACATTTAAAAAAAATAAGACAGCATTTTCGATGAAATCTCTCAGTCGGCTTAACTTTTTCGCCCTCTTGAAATAATTATCATCACATTTCAATAAATTGATACAAAACAATATTAAACTCTACGTATTCTAAAACGTTTCTCTTAAATCAGAGTGATTTAATCTTTTGATGAAAACCGTATTAAAATCCGTCACCTAATTTTAAAGATCTAAGCGTACATACAGAGGGACAAACGGCGGGAAGCAACTGTTTTATACTATTGTAGAGATAAAAATCATGTATCTATTTGTGATAAAATAGCAATCAATGCTTGCTATTTTCTATATTTCATATTTTTCGAAACTGTCCTAATAGCGTACGTTTATACTTACATCTAAGTAAAATTATAATTATCCGTAAAATTGTTATCAAAATGACTGAAATATTTCATAAGCTGCTATTCGGGTACAAACAAATTTAAAATGCCAATATTGACAAGGTTACCTTGAAACTTATTCAATAAATACATACTACTACTGTTGTAGGTAAAGATGTACCTACGAATTTATGAAAACGGAAACATTAAGTATGAATAAATTAAACGAAACAAGATTGTTTCGAATGTAATATTGATGAAAATTTTAGTTCGGTCATATTCATTTCAAAGCGGTATCATAAAAATCAAGTGAAAAGTAGAAATGGTGGGCGAAAGTCCTAAGTGTAAAGCGCAAGCGGTGGACGCATACGATAAACGGACAGTTGTAGACGGACGCAAACAACGCGCGACAACCGCGTCCACGCTCTGCCAGACCCCGGAGCGTTGCGCTGGCGAAACTCCAAACCTTATTTATTTATTCCGCTCCAGTTTATTTATTTACAACATTACATACATAAAAATATATGTTTTTTTATGATTACTCTAAATAAACTGCATTATCATGTCATCAAAGCAATAAGTGCTGACTACAGATTCACTGTTTTACTACTATTTTTAATTTCACCTCCGCCGCAGTTTTAAGAGAGACTTGTTCATGTATACTGACAGGAATTGTGATAAATTGTGTGAATAATATCTAGATTCTGTTAAAATATTAATACCTATTTAAATCTATTTTTCATATTCTTCCTATCGAAAGTCTTTTCTCCTTATCGTTCTATAGTTAAGGTCTCAATTTTCTGTATTTTTTGGCTATATTAAGCGATTATGTTACCAATTTTGAACCATTTTTATCAATAATGCTTATTATTTGATTAGGCTTAAATCTTTCAACGAGAGGAACAAGAAAATGTTTATTCGTTAATTCTCCCATGTTACTCTCATATTTATTTTGCAACAATTAAACCGTTACATTTGTCTTACATATGAACACAATTCAGTGTTCTAAATTCAAATATATCATAGTGTTTACGAAACGTCTTGTCATTCATCGGTTGTCACCATTGACCTATTGAAATTCTAGAATTTCTGTCTCCTCATATACCCAATATTAAAGGCTTGCTAAGGTATAAATTTTTATTTATTTTTATACTACGTTATGCGATTATATCGCCAATTTTGAACCACTTTTTGGCAATAATGATTATTATTTGCTTGGGTTTAAATCTTTCTTTGAGAGAAACAAGAAAATTTACTTTAATTTACTCCCATATTTAATTTACTCATCATATTCATTTTCAGTTAAAGCCAATTTTTTTAACATATTCATATCTAACATAAAATCTTATGGACACACAATTCCATGTTCTAAATTCAAATATATCATAGTGTTTACGGAACATTTTATCATTCATCCGTTGTCAGTATTGAACTATTGAAGCTCTCGATTTTTTTCGCAGCAAAATAAAATAAAGATTTATTCTGCCAGATATTTTATAAACGTACTTTGTTCTTATGGTTAGATCGATATTAATTATATTTACCCAATGCAACTGTTATAACTATGCCAATGAGAAATAGGTCATAATTTATTTATAATAATGACAACCTTAGGACTAACTAGGCGTAGGCTGACGATATATTTAAACTTTAGTGATGACTAGCCAGATGGTAACGGCCTAGATTTTACAGGTTAATGGGTTCATACTCTGCGCAAGAGCAATGCATAATAATTTTAATCAACGTTATTCTAGTTATTACTGTTCTCCTGAGTTGTATTTGAAATAACCTAAGATATATTTTTATTTTATTTCGATTGATTTTTTTAGATTTTATTATAAACCTAGGTCATGTCAACCAGTTTGCATCCCACTGTTGTACACGGATCTGAGAATATTAGTTTAATTATCGCGACATACAAGCCAAGATAGAGATAGAGTACGATTTAATACAGTTTTATTTTAAATGTTTTTTTCTTTCAAATAATGTATTGTGCTGTTGTTTTGTTTCCTTGGCCGCTTCTTACGACATCCTGGTGAAAAAAGTGGGGGAACATTGTATTATTGCTTTTTTTACACATAGTTAAAAATTTATAATGTATATACATATGAGTTAATATAAATCACTTCAATTCAATATTTTTTTAATTATAGTTATTTATAGTAGCTTATTTATAGATTAAACGAAGTAATATAAATTACCTCAATTAAAACATTATGCTTACGCCAACCTTCGTGGCACAGTGGTAAACACATTGCTTTGCGTAATGAGATCCCAGGTTCGAGTCTCGGTCAGGCCAATTTTGAAACGAACTTTTCCAAATTATTTCGGGCCTGGGTGTTCTGTATTGGGGCTCCAGAGGTGTTCTAGTCTAGTTTCCCATTCTTATAATACAGGAAATCCTAGTTTACTAACGAGACAATTTATGGGTTTGAAAAACAATACTACTACTCTTAATTAGCATACTACTTTGCGTAGTGAGATCCCAGGTTCGAGTCTCGGTCGGACCAATTTTAAAAACGAACTTTCCAAATTAATTTGGGCCTGGGTGTTCTGGATTGTGCCTCCAGAGGTTCATAGTCTGCTTTATCATTCTTATAACACACGGTATCTTAGCTTGATGGCAAGACAATTTATGTGGTTGAAAAATATATATATTTGTAGTCGTAGTTGTTCTTAATTTCTGTAGTATAAGTAATAAAATAATATAAATCAGAACATTTTTCACAGATTCTACAGTAATGAAAAGGAAAAAGTAGCAACACGGTATAATAAAATACGATCCAACCATAAAAAACATAATCTCCCTCATTTGATCTCTTGGCAGCTTTGATCAATGCTACAGCTATAAAAAATCAAAGGTAAGTGAATATATTTAACGTTTACTGAATTAGCAACGTGAAATTAGTACCCGTACTGTTTACCTTTAATTGACTACTTGCTATCAAGCTATGAAGCGTACGGTTTATATTTTACATCAAATATATCACAGTTGCTGTTCTCAAGGTGGTGATTATTATTACCATAGTTATACGTATAGAAATAGTTAACGCAAATAGCTTGATATAATTAATAAAAACTGCTAAACTACTAATTACTAGAGGGAGACATTGTACAAAAGTCGATTGCTTGGGTACCTCTGTCCCATTCGTGTTTCTACCGTGAAGCAGCTGTGTTTGCATGGCTGTGTTTCGGTTTGAAGGGTGGGATATGGCGTGAATTTACTGGGTACAGAGGAATAACATCTGAGTCCTCAGGAATGGCAACGCATGGGGGGTATCATGGGCGAAACAGTATACTCTGTTATGTCTATGGTATTGCTCATGCCTATAGGTGACGGTTACCACATTCCATTAGGTGAGCCGTCAGCTTGTTTGCCATTCTAAGTTGCATAAAAAAATGAATATTTTTGTAATTTATAGATTGAATAATAATATTCTATCAACAAAATCTATATTAAATTCTATTTTAAACGTTTTATACAGTTGCGATGTAACATCTATTTATCCACGTCCATTTCATTGTTTATCATCATCATCATCACAACCATTATTATTTTATTATTACTATCTGATAATGTATTTAAAGATTTAGCATTAAAACTTACATTCTACTCAGTGAAAATGATTTTTTTTTTCTTGTTGTTAAAAAAATACGAAGCAAATAAGAAAGTAAGAAAGTTTCCGAACAATTCACTGTAGTACAAAAAAATATGAATTTATATACAAAGTAAGATCATAATATTGAACTTCAAAAAGACATCTGTACACGATAATTTCACTGCTATATCCCACCTTGCAAACCGAAACACAACTATGCAACCACAGATGCTTCGCGACTGAAACACGGCTGAGAAAGAGGTACCTACCTAGAGCAAACGACTTTTACTACAAAGTCTTCCTCAGTACTTTTCTTATTACGTAACTAATAACTTACCTATACTATTACTGAATCTGCCGGCATTTCTTAAGTAAGAAAACAGTTCGCCGCCGCACACATAGTCGAACAGCATGTAAATACACGAATCGTCGTGAGTCCACCACCGCCTGAAATTCAATCACTTCATTAATTAACATAACAAAAGAAGATAATCTTTAATCGACATATATATATATATATATATATATATATATATATATATATATATATATATATATATATATATATATATATATATATATATATATATATATGTATGTATGTATGTTCTAAGTAATAATGCTTATTATTTGTTAATTTGATAATCTTTGTTACTTGTATGTATGGAAATTTAAACATTACATATAACAAGACAACAGAAATTTTTAAGAAATGTTTTAAAAATGGACGTAGGTAAATTGTTACTTTATTTTCTATGTGAAAGAAAATATTGATACAAACATATTGATGCTAACTAACAAGTTTCGACACATTTTTCTTTTCGCAATCTAAGCACCAGCTGTTTGCTATAAACCAGGCTATGCACAAATTTCGGTTAAGTTTTTCGTTCTTTTTTATAGGACTTGGAATAACAACAACGACCTACAATAAAATTATGATACATAACCTATGGACATCACAAAAGAACTAAAAATTACTCTAAAAATGAAAATTAAACATTAGTAAGGAATGCGGTATATACATGGAAAGATTTTTAACTACTTGTACTATATTTGGAAACAGAATCCAAACAGCAAGAATAAGGGATCTATATATTTCAGTCAAAACTGATGGAATGTAACGGCATCGGAAGTATGCCAGATTCCCATCAGCAGAATACGTAGTCGATTGATTCGATTCCCAGTTGGCGCCTAGGCACCTGCCAACTATCTGTTTGACGCCGCATGTCTGTCGCCAAAGAAATGAGCATTTCGTGCGATATGCGTCTTGCATACACTTAACATGACCTTTAATGCAAACCCAAACTGCATGTTTGCCATTCTTGGCGAAGAAACAGATGCAGTTTTCTTGATATTAGTAGATGCTGTGTATTTTTTTGTTTAAAAATCTTCATTTTATCTTTATTTTATTCATGTATTTATTTTAAGTGGCATAAAAAAAGCCTTTCAAAAAAAGTGAGAAGGTGTGATAAATGTGGGTTTTGTTATTTTATTATTTTAAGTTAAATAATTTATTTCAAGTTGATAGAAATTAAAAAAATACTTTATTAGACCTATATACTTTATAGACTTTAGTTAGTTAAACAGAATGATAATTAATTTAAAAAGACTAGAAGTTTCTTAAAAAGTATATAAACATTTCAGAGGCCCAATATTTTTTACAGTTTACGTTACAGTTACAGTACGTTTCCTTTGTTCATGAAAATGACTCATTTTTCTTTGTTAGAGCTGGCTACAGATCAATATGTCGTACAAAAATAAAAAAAAATTAAATACTATATGACAGAGAGAAAAATTGAAATAAATCTATCGTGATAAATTTCGTAAATAAAATCTAGTGTAATGTATAGGCAACGTCTATACGCTAACAGTGACTACGCAAATTGTATAATGAATTGGAGACAATAAAGATGAAACATTGGCACAGGGCCAAGCACTGTCTAGTGGGTATTTAATTGACAGACAGCACATGCAGTCGAACGCAGTTGATAACCTCGTAGAAATAGAAAGGTAGCCGGTACATCGAGTAAGAGTAACTACATAACAGCATACTGGTTTTATGTACTTTACAGGAAATTTCTCTGTATTTCTTGTGTATTGTTACATAGTTTTAAATTCAAATTATCTTTATTCAGATATACTTGTATACAAAAACTTTTAATATAAATAATTATTTATTACAAATACAGGATTCGGAAAATTGTTACCTGTTAAGGAGAACTCGCAGGAAACTCTATAGTTACTCTTTTAAATCTATGTTAACATTATGTGTATTCATTTAAATGTACTATGTCTTTTCCCAGAGTAATCGCCCCCTCATCTCATACTTTCAGTATCTATGAAAAAGTAACATTCTCGATTTATATACGAATGTATCTCATTTCTCTCATATTGCGTTACTAATTTCACGCTCCAAACGGAAACGTAATCATAACAATGCACACGTTTCTATTTAGGACAGAAAAAAAATCTAAAATTATTATATTCAAACCAATCTCGTATAACTCTACCATTTTAGCATCAACCTTTGTACTTATATAGTGTCCTTTTCTTTTTAGTAATATATATTTATAATAAAAAAACTTATAAAATCAAAGTCTGAAGGGAAGAGAAAAAAAATTAATTTACTCCGAAATACAAAATTGTTAAAATGTATTTGTTAATTATCCATATTCGTATCCTATGTATTAAGTTAGGATTTAATCTGTTAACCAAATTTCGTTCAAATCCGTTCAGTCATGTAGCATGATTAAGTAACAAACATACAAATATCCAAACATCTTAAGAAACATTCACATTTATAATATTAGTAGGATTAAAGGACCATAATTTTGTTTTTGTTATATTTTTGTTTATTTTTGTAAATTTGTGTAATCTAATTCAGAAGGAATTTAGTATGGTATATATATCAAACTTAGCTTGGATTATACCGAAACCTTATCTAGAACTACTACAAGTAATACCTAATGACAATAATACTATTCATAAATTCTAATATGCTATACTTATTTATAAATGGCCCTAATTACATTTATACATTGATAATATGTAAAACAAAAAGTGAAAATCTTATAAATAATTAAATATAATATCAACTATATTAGACAATTTTAAATTAAAAGATTGTAATATTACCCAATGTAAATTATTATTACTACCGATGTGTTCCATATTGCGAAATTACAAAAGGTATTCATAATATAAATGTGTGTCAAGGACATTCCAAGTACAATGCTATTGATAAGTCAAGGCCCCTCAGCCATGTAGGTATTTATACAAATAATAATAGAAATAATATATTCCATATTTCTAACAACGAGTACGTGTATCATAATATGTAAGCTAATATAATTATTATTATTAGGTCCACTGCTGAACATAGGTCTCCTCCTAAAGTGGGTTTTGTCAGTAGTTGCCACACTGGGGTTTGGCAACCGCAGTGAAGCATTGGTAAAGTTTTAAAGTTTGAATTTACTGGGTACGGAGGAATAACACCTGAGTCCTCAGGAATGGCAACGCATGGGGGTATCATGGGCGAAACAGCGGGCCTACCATGAAATGAAATTCCGAAATTTCGGACTCAATTTCGTGTTTTTGTTTATACCAAAATCGGACCAATAAATGGAGTTGAACATTTCGTTTGTCATACATCCTATCATAAAAATCCAAAGGAACAATATTTTAACATTTTTAATATTTCGAAATGGCATGTATAATGTAATTTTAACATCAAATTTCTGTTTCGTTTGGCTCCGAAATTTCGGACTTGTTTGCCATTCTAAATAGTATAACAAAAAGGCACTACTGCTCATCCCTCGACCATTAAGTTCCTTTAGTTGCGTCTTACATCCCCCTCGGGAAAGAATGGGGTGGCCCATTCTATGTCGGGGTCACATGACGAAACTAATATAAACCTTAATCTAAGTAATATGCTTAGAAATATGTTGTACCTTAATATTTCAAAAAGAATTAAATTTTTTTCTCTCGACTAAAAGAATCTAATCTAACTTTCAGTATTCGTCCAAAAAAGTTTTAATTGTATTGATGTAATACTCGTGTAGAATCAAAAACCAGTATATTCCTATTATTAGATATCATTAATATGATCAATTAACAATGTTGATCTTATTTTTAACGTCAGTAGGTACTTTATTCACATTTTCTATATATCCATATACTTCTTAGAAATTTATATTGTCTTGACTTTAAATTATACTCTTCGGTTAAAATTAGGTTAAGTTATATGTATTTTATTATCTATTTTATCAAGTAACACGACATCTGATTTTATGTATTAGTGGCTTACAATTTAAAACAATCTGTTCATATTAAATATTTATACTTACAAATTCACTATAAATGGATGATTGATTTCTGATAATATATTTTTTTCGTTCATCACATGATCGACTTGTTTTAAACGAATTACATCTGCCATCGAGAGGATTTTCATAGCTAGATATTCGTCGGCAGCTTTGTCTCGACAGAGGCACACGCGACCAAATGTGCCGGTACCTGTAACAAACAAACAAATTATTACAATATTTTTTTGTAATTTCAACTACACATAATTATTACTAATTTATTAAATATTATATTTATATATCTTTATTATATTAAATTTTATTATATAAAAATCCAGTGTCATTATGTTCGTTCACGACAATCTCAAAACGCTCAAATGATTTCAATAAAATTTTAGAATAATGCATCATTGGCTCCAATTTGGGAAATACAAAGATGGCAACAGAATAAGAATACATAGATCTCTTTGTTGTTCCAGTATAATTAAGGACTTATTTTAAAGATCAATCTACTTTCAAAATCAATATTATGATTTAATCATTCTATCTAAAACCACAATATCAAATTTGCAAAAGTCAGCTAACATAATCTTAGTAATTATATATTATCTACTTATTCAAATCATCACGAAGCCCTCAGGTTCGCAATATTAGAATAGATTTATAAACATTGAACATCAACAACGATTGCAATGTTGCGATCTTGAGCATAAACAATTCAAAGAAATAAATTATACGCAAACAGTCCTCAGTAAACACTGAAACACGGATTTTCTCTATCTATTAACTGTATGACTCATGATCATCTCTGGTACACTTTGTATCTCTGCTAAATATATACATTGAAAATGATAAAATTCTTTCTAATCTTATATACATAGAGAACCATATGTTCAATTCATTATCTACGTTTAGTTTTTAATATTAAATAAACGATTATTAGATAATTATATAAAGATATTTATTAGCAACGTGTATATATATATTAAACGTAAGTGATATACATCTATAATACAAGATATATATCTTATTTCGGATACTTTTTACCGATAGGTATATCTTCGAGCTCGTATAAAGTCTTTGTTCCGGTTATTTATTCCTTCCAAAAGAATAATGAGATGCTTTTATCTACCCAGTTCCCCAATTTCCGATTATATTATAATAGCAAATTGATCCCTTTTTAGACAAGAGTTTTTAAGTTTATTGGGGTTATTGTCATATTTATAAATCTATATATACATATAAAATTTATTCAATCTTGTTAGTAGCTATTCATTTTGATAAGAGCATTACTTTAATAGAAGTGGACCAATTTGTTTAATTTATTTTTATGTGTTTGTAATTGTCGAAATATGATTTATAGTAAAAGAAATAAACATTTGAAATTTGAACATACTGCATCTATTGAGTAAGCTTGTTACAATTATTTCATATTTTGTTACTAACTATAGCCTATATGTTTATGTGGTCGAACAGTCGTTTACAAAAATAAAGTAAGAATAAAGGAGAAAATCTCACTCAAGTACAAATAATCCCATAGCGGGATTTGCTCCATTAAAAAAAATGCTATTTAGGTTTACTATAAAATTTAATAATAATACTAAAGCAAAAAATATCTAAATTCTACAAATGAGACATTTCTTATCTCATATTGTTATACCTAATAAAAATTAACTACCTACTCTAAAAACAAAATTGAAGTAAAATAAACATACACTGACTCTTGTTATATCATGAACTTACCCACTGTGCAAACCTACATTTTACATTCTACCTTTCCTGACTGTATTTTCAATTACATTGTCAACTAATAATAAGATAAATCTATAAATACATCATTTCTATTTGCGAAACTCTGTTTTATACTAAAAATAGACCAATTTATATAACACAATAAACCACTTTTAAAATATATATCTTTATAAAATAATAATAATTATAACAAGGAATGACAATTCCCTTAGATTTTTTTTAGAAATACCTCATAATTTATAAACACATAATAAAACTGAGTGATGGGATAGATTTAACCCACTTAATCTGTTTCATGTGATTTTGATCTTTGCAATATAATCTATAAGCTTGGGTGTGTCACCGTCTTAACTATTTTTGCCTATGAGCAATATTGTTAGTCTGGATATTCTGGGTTGTTGGATCATAAGAATATTAATCATTTTTATTTATAAATTAGACACTTGGCAATTACATAGTATAGCGTAGAAAGTGCGGGGTCAAGTTCCGCCCGCTTCGATAATTTTCATATTTTAATAATATTTCCATAAGAATATTCTTATGATTGAATATCAAATGACCTTTGTCTGGGTTTTCAAAACAGAGTACTCTATCCTAGTTTTATTTTTTATTTTATCTGTATTTGATTTGAGATAAATAATCTTTAGACATATCTTTCGATCATTCTCACAATCAGAGATTGCGTCAGAACTGGTTATACTACTAAATCAAAATAATATAACCAATGAAATGGAATAATTTTAACAATCGTTTACTAAGTCTCGTAAAGTAAAAAAAAAACATCGAAATTAGGAGCATATAACTATGTACTATGATAAATACCTACTACCTATAATTAATTCAAAATTGAAAAATGTTGTCAAAAATTATCCTTTTATAATATTGTTGCAACATCTTCAAGTATGCTAGTTTGAAATCTAGCCAATGAGTAAATTGTGGCATTTGTCATAATTATCTTTCTCTATTTCATTCAATTTATTCATTGTTCAGAGTAGTCTCTGTGCCCATACATTTTGCAACCTACACCTGTATCTATCAATCAGCATTGTAAGGAGATACGCGTCCACCCGTGACGTTCGTGGGCGGCCAATAACACTCAATTATCAAGTCATACACGTTTGAAGTTGCCGTCTCATAATGAACGTCGTACCGTCGACCGACCTATTTTCAATGGATATTCGGTGCTATATGAGTAACATTTTGTCTTTTATCTCTCGTTTTTGATTTTGAACGTCTCATATTTTAAATAAAATAGGACGCCTTCGTGGTCCAGATAAAAAAGTGCAATCATGTGCAAAAGTTATAACCTTTTCCTTTACACTTTTAATTTTTTAAAGTGATCGCAACTACAAAAAGGAAATTCTCAATTTATCCATATTTTTATATATATAAATAATATTTCATTGCAGCCGTTAATTGTCTACTGCTGGACATAAGCTTTCCTAATAAGAAAAGTTTTGCCAGTAGTTGCCACGCCTGCCACGGTTGCCAACCGCAGTAAAGCTTTGCTCATCCCTCTACCTTAAGTTCTCTATTCGCCTCTATACAATATATACTTTATTATATATACAAAACAATAAAAGAAATTATCACACTGAGAAAACAATGGACGGCCTTGTCGATTGGCCTGCGATCTCTTCCAAACTTCCAGGCAACCTTTAGATGGAGAGGAATAATTATAAACAGTATAACTGGAGGCACGATAAAAATAATTATTATATAGCTATAATTTTTCCATTTTTAATACAAATTTAAAAAATCTGTAGAACTTAAGGTCTGAAGATATTTTTACACAAAATTTACATAATTAAAAGATTCTAACTATCCACAGTAGACTTTAATGAAACTGAACAACTTTTCCTAAGAAACACAAGTCTAATTGTGCCTTTCGTCAAAATATATTAATAATAATGAAGCTGGATGTAATAAAGATAAAGGTCTGTGACACAAGATTCTCTTTACCTATCCCACAAGTGAAAATACCTATATTATAATTGTTGATAATTTCTAACGCTATCTTAGTAGCACTGCTGTAAATGCCTGTACAGCTGCCGGTAAGCTAGAGATGTATCCAATATTTAGGTTAGAAGGCCGACTGAACCAATACGTTTGATATTAAAGTGTAATTTTACGTAACACTTGTTAATTTGAGATCCCCGTGACGTTGGAATTTCACAACAATTTATTTCTGCTATCCCTTACGCAAGTTTACCTGAACCTTGCCGCGAGCTTACTATGTTGATGGGAGTTAACTCAATAATTTGTTAAGCAATCTCAGGAATGCATTTTGTAAATATAACGTTATTTAACAGTACAGAAATGGAAAATCCGATTGATTGTACAAATAAAAAAAATCGTTGTATGTCTTTAACAAACAACTCACGCACTTGAAAAAATCTAAAGAAGTCTTTATTGCGATCTTTTGTTGTTGTTCTATCAGTCAAAATGATAAAGTATTACATCAGAATTACACATCTACTACACACATATGAATCTGCGACCTATTATTTTAAATATAATCGATCTATTGAGTGTATCTAGAAAACATCTAGTAGTAAAACTGTGTGACTGTACTCTTTTACGTTACCTATAACAATATAAAAATGATAATTAGGTATAAATAAAATCATCACATCATTATTCCTGACTACAATAAAATTAATATATATTGCTACTAAAATTTACCCGCGACATCGTCCGCCTGAAAACGATATATTCCCTGAATGGGATAAAAAGTAGCCTTTGACCTTCTTGATGCAATGTAATTAGTATATGTATGTACTAAATTTCATATTAATTGGTGAATCTATTGTGACGCTGAGAGATAAGAAACAAACTCACTTTCACGTTTATAATATTATTAAGAACATAATATACAACTAATATAAGAATAAACCGTATAAATTACGAGTATAAAAAGAATTATTACCTAAATCAGTTCACAATTGATAACCTCCTCATTTTTGGAGTTGCTAAAAATATATTGATACCACGGTACCATAAAAAGTAACGATAACCCATCATCATATCAGACGTTAACTGTCCACTGCTGAACATAGGCCTCCCCTATGAAAAGGATCTTGCCAGTAGTTGTCACAGTTGGCAAGCGATAACCCTAAATGTGTATGTGCCATTTTGTACCTAATCAAAGATTACGATTAGTTTGTCTTAAGTATTTAACGTGTTTTGTACCACGGCCGTACGTATAAAGAGCATGTATTTATTTAAGAACCGTCACACTTTGGTTGTTGGTTACGTACGTGACGCAAATCCTAATTTTATTTTAATCCAATGTCAATATTTAATGCACATCTTTACTAAATTATAAATGCAGATTTTTTAGTTCTTTTTTATTTCTTGGTTCCTTAAACACTCTTCTGCTTACTGTGAAATTTGGTATACACATATTATTTGGGATGAAGAAAAATGTCTATTTTTTACCCGGTCAATCTGTATATC